CTGATTGTGCCCCTGGAACTCCAGTTCAAAATAATTTTTATGTCGGGCTGGGGTTGTGGCTCAGGAGTAGAGCACTCACCTAGCAAGTGCGGGATCCTGGGTTCGATCTTCAGCACGACATAAAAATAAATTAAAAAATAAAGGTATTGTGTCCAACTACAACTAAAAAATAAGGATAAAAAATAATTTTCACATCAAAGTGGCATATTTTGRGGTGGCATCTTCTGCTACCTTTCATGTGTAATAATTATTTGTATACAAAGTAACTTAGACATATTTAACAGGATCAATTGATATTCCCTGAGAATAAATATAGCCTCATAGCATATTGAGATTAATTCACACATGATAACTTACATTTCATCTGGACTAGTTCTAAAGAGGTATTAGATCAAAATAAAGGGCAATGTGCATCTCTAGCATTTTCATTTTTAGCACAGTTGAGTGAACCTAATAGTCTTTGCATCATTATGTGGAATTACATGGAACAATCAGGTTCATTATGCATTATGTTTGAACATTGTTGGGYCCAGGAAGATTTGCTCCAGTGCATAGGTAATTAGGTTATACACTCTAGGATCATAAGTGAAAGGACTAAAACACAAAATTAACATTTGTAGTCATGCTCTGCAGAGATTACAGTATAAGTAGATGAATTTAAGACTTCTAACAAAAGGCCACAGCACTGTGTGGATTATAACTATCTAAATGTATTTAATATGCATTCACTTGCTTTTCTTGAAATGCTTCAATTAGATATCGCCTGTTTTCAAGGTGGAGGGTTCTTTCAGAATATATTGAGCTGCTCAAAAACCTTTATTGAACAGTGATGAATTTGATGAGTAAGATGTAAAAAAGATTTCAGAGTAAAACATAGATTTCAGTTGAAAACATTACAGCAGAATTTTGTAAAGCTAAAATGAGATCTATTTTTCAACCCAAGGAATGTTTTATATCATATATAATCTTTTCAAATGTTATAGAATGCAGATGTGAAATATTCACCTCAAAATACTAATGAAATAATTGTTTTTCTAAGTTTATAGAAATTAGCAAATAAGTAGTTTGATTTCACTATTCCATACTGAATATAAACTGCATCAGTACAGAGATTATGTCTGGATTTTTTGTTTTTGTTTCATTTTCATACTGGGGATTAAACCCAAGGGCATTTTACCACTGACCTCCATCCAAATCCCTTCATGGTTTTCTTTTTTGATACAGGGTTTTGCTAAGTTGCTGAGGACCTCACTGAATTGCTGAGGCTAACCTCAAACGTGTGATCCTTCTGCCTCAGGCTCTTGGGTGCTGGAATTATAGGTTTGTGCCACTGTGCCTACCTTCTGGATTTTGTCTGTTTTGTTCACTGTTGTTATCTCCAATGCTGAAAATGTGATGTCATGATAGGTCCTCAATAAATACTGAATGTTTGAAACACATCATTCCTTGCAGTGCTAAAGGAGAAGTTGTTCAGTGACTCTTGTCAAAATTCAGTAAGGCAGATTTCAATCAGGATCATAATGAAGGATATGAGGATCAGATGTCAAGGATGTTAAGATATTGAGAGTGGGGAATTTTTTGCTCAAAGGACTTGGTAATGTTCTTGCTAAAACTGGATTTCCAGTGAAATGCACTGATGAACCTGGGAGAAGGTTGGGGAGCATGACTGAAGTATGGTCAAGCAGGGAACCTTTGTCAACCATCATTACTAGGATAACCTCTAATGATAATTTTTCACCAAAGTTGTTGACTCATCAGCCTATTTAATTCAAATGTTTTCTTAAATATCAAATAGGCACATATATTTTTAACATAATACAAGATATAAAGAATGATGGTACATTAACATTGTACATGATTACTTTTGAGAAGTATATTACAATTTCCTTCAGAATCTTCAGTAAGCCATTGTCTGAACTCATCATCATCCCTTCCTCAGAGCTGGTGACCACTATCCTGAATGTTATGTTTTTTTTTTTTCTCGTTCAAAATTATTATTACACTCTTTTTTTTGTAAATTATTATTTACATTCTATTTCTTAAATTTGTTTATATGCATAGGTTGTAAAAAGCCCACATCTTATCAACATCATGAACAAAAGCTTTTCTGTAGTCTTCCATCATTTGATGAATGTTGATATTTGAATTGTTTTCAGTTTATGCTATCTAGAAAAGCCCCAACTATCATTTTTGTACAAGTTATTACTGAATATTTTTTCACTGGAATAGATTTCTAGGTTGATCATTTGTACTCTTAATACCAATTGTACCAGTATTATTTGGTATTTTCAGGTTGCTTTCAAAATATTCCTACATCAGAGTGTATTAAAAGAGATAAATGGCGAGACCTGGACCCTAGCACAGTTACTAGCATTTGATGGGCCTTTCATAAGTGTTAGTTTCCTTTCTCAGGATATGGAGTTTTAAAATCATCTTGATAAGAAATGTGTCTTCTCCAACAGCTGCTGTTCACGCTCTCCACACACCTCAGGGAAGGACCTGAAGGCCAGGAAAGGGATGCCTTTTGGCCAAAGCAATCAGTTCAAATGGAATCAAATCTCTACTGGCTCAAGGGGAGAATCATTGTCTACACTGGGTCAAGGGGAGTGAGTCTTCATCTACAGTGCTCAAGACATGTGAGTTCCCATCTACACTGGCTCAAAGTGAGCAATTCTTTATCTACACTGAACAGGAGAGGGAGGCACAGCAGTCCAGGACTTGAACAGGACAGCTTCTGGGCTCCTGCCCTTGCCCTGAGGCCTTCCTCTTTTTCTCCTTCTTCTTCTTTTAAACTTTTTTTTTTTTTAATTCTTTGGAACATCAACCTTATTATACAATTTGTGAGAGACGAATTTATTAAGTACCATCTCTGCTATCCCAGAAGCATAAGAGAAAAGACAAAGGGCAGGCCAGGGAGTCTCTGATGTCTCTGGAAGGTGGGGGAAGAGGAGACTCCTGATGGACCCAGATGTGTTCCTGGCTGGAGTCCATGCAGAGAAGYTTGAACCAGTTTACACTCCTCACTCCTGCAGCTGTTTGAGTCTATACCTGACCCATGCCCCCCCGCCATGATGTCAGGATCCTCAGAGCTCAGGTTCTCTGGCTGTCCATTAGTTTGTCTGTCTCAGCTCTGCATTTTCATTGGAGCCACTCTATTTCTGAATGCCAGCCTGCAGAAAAAGCATGCAACAACACAGTTGTTGAATGAGGTGATAACTCTTCCAGTCACCCCCTTCCAGCCTTGCTGCTATAGGGATTGCCATGTAGAGGTACTTTGAGAAGACATGCTGTCATCTGCTGCAACCCACCCACTGAGGATTGTCCAGGGCCTGCTGGGAGGCTATACTGGGAGTGGAGGTCTTCACATGCAGAAAGAGGAGACAAATGGTAGGCATCTTGGTATTTCCACTGCCCTTCTGCAGGAATTGCTTGGCCTCCTGAGGCAGCTGCTGCTCACAGGGCAAGGAAAGGGCAGGCACACTCCTTTTTGGGGTGGTCATTAGAAGGAACTGCTGGCCCTGCGAGAGACCCCACTCCCACCCCAAGCACAGGCTTTTCTAAATATGCTAGTTTATATTCTTAATAAAAGTATATGAGGACAAATGTGTTTGTCTTGTTGTTTTGTTTTGGTTTTTGATTTCTGCTGTTTTCTTCCAGGGAGAGGTTCATTAAGAAAGAAAGACAAAAAGGACTTTGTTAGCACAACACACAGAGTCTGTTATGCTTTAGGGATGGTAAATAGTAGCCTGAGAAATGTCTTTCTTTTGCACTTGTTAATTCTATGGTATACCTAATTCTATGGGTGAAACCAATTGGGAGCTAATGATACTGGAGTGCGCAGGTGGATAAAAGGAACTGGGGGTAGGTAGGAGTGGAGGTCAAGCAAGATGAGAGAGATAAGACACTACCGGTGTATCTCTGAGGTAGACTCTGATGGCCAAGGGTCCTGATAGGACAAAGAAAGTGTTTTATTATCTTAGAGACTCCCAATATGTGTGTTCCTCSTCATTGTCTTGAGATTTCCTTTCTGACACTGGATTACTTTCCAAATGTTAATAATGACATAGTTATCTGAAGCACTAGGGTCATGATGGAGGAAAGCAAAGTCTATTTGGTGAGGAGAGGTGAGTGTGGTATGGTGGAGTGTTTTCAAGAAGTTTGAGGATGGAAACAATGTGAAAGCCAGGAATCTGGCATGCTAGAAGAATCTCTTGATGAAGATTTTATTCTAAAACTGTTCCCATGAAGAGACCTCCAGAGTCACAGCTTGATGCTTACTGAAGAAAATGATCAAATTACAGTTAAGAATAAAAGTTTCAAATTAAAATGAGGTTTTTAGTTCAACTTTTACCTCATTCACACTAAAATATAACTAGGTGATCAATCAAATCTACCTGATATCAAGTTCTTCTAGGTTTGGTCAGAGGAAAATAATGATCAGTGGACGTGAGTCTTGAGTAAAAGATGAAGAAGAAAAAAAAAAGGTTGTGTTTATAAAGAAGACATCAAAGACTCCACAGCTTTGCTTGGCTTTGACCTAGTGGTCCTCACTTAAGTGAAGGAAAAACAATCTGTCTAGAAGCTTTTCTGAATTAACTGCTTRTGTTTCTTTTCCACTTGGCATCTTAAAGCTCATGCCAACTGTTTTCAAAAGGAGCTTTGTTCTCAGATGATCCATTAATTGAAGTATCACTGAAGAATTTGGGAAAAAATTCAACTTCAGTTATAGAACTTCTTAGTGTGTGTTTTTTTGTTTGTTTGTTTGTTTTTTGATTCCTTCACTCCTCCCCTCATGCCTCCAAACACATTCTTCCTCTTCTCACTGCCAGGGTGACTTCAGAAGATTCTGTAACAAGTTCTCAGATGCCCATTGTGTAGTAACAATGGATTCCAACAAGGACCTGCGGATTCTGTCCTCCCCTGCTTTCCTGAGTGGAAGGCTATCCCCYGCCCAGGCCTGCAAGCTTGCTAGGCACTAGAAACCCCAGCAAGAACTCTTCATGCCAGTCAAACCCATTGGGTGGATATGTGGACATGTGTTGAAGAACTGTTCTGGAAAAAGTACACACAATCTTGTTTTAAAGGGAATATGGGTGTGGGAACAACAGAGAATAAGATCCCCTATGGTTCTCTTCTTTTCAGTCACTTAGGAGGTAAACCCAGTGTTCCAAGTTCTTTTGAATCATTTAGGGGATAGTTTTAAAACTTTTTTTCCTAATCTCTTTTTTTCTTAGTGGAGGGGATCCAGAAAGTAATTATGGACCTTATAGATGAGTTTAAAGAYGAACTTCCTACCATCCTAAGATTATCAGAATCTAATCAGGTAATGTGATTTCATAATTTTCAAAATGAATTTTTAAAAATATATTGTATTTTTACTGTCATATGGATTATTTAATGCTTTGATTTTGATATAAGTGCTTGGAGCTTAAGAAGATATTAATTTTACCTAAAAAAAGAAAATTCAATCTTCCTCAATGGGAGGATGATCTGGAAAAAAGAGGGGTTGTAGATCAGGAAATGAGATAAATTAAGTTTAAAGACAATCCTTGGATTAGAAATCTGGAAATCTCATAGCCACAATTGCAATGCAGTTCACTTAAAATTATGGGCTTGGGATATAGCTCAGTTGGTAGAGTGCTTGCCTTTCATGAACAAGGCCACAAAAATAAATAAAGATTTGCTTAAGGTAAAGTGAAAAAAAAAAAAGCCAGATATACTTTTGCTAAAATCTGAGGCAATTAAATCAGTGCAAACACTCAATTGTAGCAATGGAAAGATAAATATAGTAAAAGTGCATGTGTTTTAATGTGRAAAAAATACTGGTATCAATTTAAACAAAGTATATATGTGCTRTATTTTAAAAATCTCTGTTCCAAAAAAGATTTGAAATAGATAAAATATTGGAAATGGAGAGTAGAGCAACAAAGAATTTTGAAGAGATATATAATCAGGAAAAAGTAACACCTTGTTAAGGGGACATATATAACCTAATTTACTCAAAGGTACACAGTTGTTAATGGAAAAATATGTTTCAGCCATTTTGACCACAGTTGAAATAGAATATGCCTTAAAGTTACAGTAACAATCCCCACTTATGATACAGTAACAATCCACTTATGATGCAGTAACGATCTATTCAGAAATCAAAATCTTGGCAATGTCAAAGGTGAGGCACATAGCCCCAAACAGGAAATAAACAGTAAAGCACTCCAAGCAACACAATAATCACTCTGTACATCTCATTCCAAGGGTAAGAACTATCTGACCATTCATTGAGAAAACCAGCCAGTATATGTTTACTAAATACTCCCTACTGGTTGGTGCTGGGCAGAGGGAATACAGAGATAATATGCAAGACACCATCCCATCCATCAATCAGCTTAATTGAATAAAGACAGAATTGTAAACAAATAATTGCCTTAGAATATGCTAAGTGTTTCAGAGGTAAATTCAATTTAGAGAAGTGAACGATTCTGCCTAGGATGGTTAGAGAAAGCTTCATGGAAGGATACTTAAGTGGACTCTCAAAGGATGAATAGGAGGTTTTTTTTGTTTTTTTTGTTTGTTTGTTTTTTTTTTTTAGGTAAAGAAAAGGGTAAGGTAAGTAGTTAAGGGCAAAGAATAATAACCCAGAGAAAACAGTGTGAGAATGGCTGAAAAGTATGACACAACATAGCATACTCCCTAAATGCCAAGTAAATATGAATAAATAGCATGTATGATAGAAGGACTGAGRCAGGAAAATAGTAGAAAATCAGAAAATGTAACCAGGAGTCAGAATATGGTGGTCTTTGTATTCCATGTTAAAAAAAAGACCTTGTGGGCTGGGGATGTGGCTCAAGCGGTATTGCGTTCGCCTGGCATGCGTGTGGCCCGGGTTCGATCCTCAGCACCACATACAAAGATGTTGTGTCCCCCGAAAATAAAAAAATTAATAATAATTAATAATAATAATAAGATTTTTAAAAAGACCTTGCTTCATCCTAATTATAACATAGATATTCACAGAAAGATTCTGAGCATGGAAATGACATCCAGTTTGCACTATGAAACTATTTCTTCAGTGGTAATGTGTTTTGAATGGAGGCAGAGCTTCTAGTACAATTCTTTTACAAATGATAGTAAAAAACAAAGACAGGACATATACACTGGAGTTAGAAAGAATGGGTTGGGTACAAGATATTTAGGGTATCTGGAAACTGACAATGTAGTGTGAGAGGGATATGTAGGGATGGGGGAAACTCTGGATTGCTTGAGTGGGTAGAACAATAGTGGTCCTACTAACTAGGATAGAGGACTCTATGAGGAGGAGAGGGTTTGGAGATAATGAAATGAATTTAATTGGATCATTTAAGGGATTCTATCACATCCCTTCTGAGCCATGGAGATTAGCTGTAAAATGGAGACATAGATTGGAAGCTCAAGTGAAGTCTGGACTAAAAATATACATTATTACATCATCATTATATAATGCATAAAATCAAGCATATAATGATACCTATAGCTAAACCAAGATGGTAAATGTCATTACTTTAAGGAGAGAATGTAGTAATATGAGGGCTTGGGATTGAGCCCCAAGAAATGCCAGTGTTTAAAGGGATCAACAGAGAGTCAGAAGTAAAAAAGGGAATTCTTGCAGAGGGAAGAATGAAATTCTATGAAGGTCAAAGGAGGAAAAAAAGAGGGAGGGATTAGCAGCCATAAGAATCCCCAAAGAAGTCAAGTATAGGTTACACTTTTGAAAGTTTTAAAAACTGAACCAATGCTTAGTGGGTAAAATTGAATTTATCCCCAAAATTTACTTCTACAAACCCATATTCACCAATAGTGCTTGCAGTATACTTAAACTCTATTTTTAGCAAAAATAATTTTCTTTTTTTTATCTGAATAGGAGATTATGGCTGTGTATTTATGTAAATGATTCAAATTTCTAAGCTTGTATGTTTCTAAAAATAAACAAAGTGATAGACATTCTTGTTTACCATCAAATCACACATGAGTTTCAACTGTTAAGACCTACCGGACTTTCTTAATTATGGTAGAGTTCTGAGACTTATAGAACTGACTTTCAGAAGATGTTAGAGACTCCAGCAGTCTCTCTAGTGTTATCGTCAGTGATGTTGTATGGCACTATACAAATCCATTTCTTGTATGGTGTAGTCTTTACTGCAAAAAGTGTGGGTCCTTGATGCACCCTGCTGAGGTGGCAACCAGATAGTGGAYTGTTGAGCAAATAGAATAAGGCTTAAAAGCTCCAGAGGGCAAACCAAATTCTGTAATTCTATATCTTAGACTTGCAATCTAGTTGCTTCCTCTTCTGCATTCTTCTAACATTAGTATAAAGTCTTTTGAAACACTGGAATCTTTTCTTGGCAATGCTCTTAATACTTGGTGGTATAAAGGGAAAAGATGGACAGGTGTTCGTGGTTGATCCTGGATATCAAATGATTAAAGCAGCACAATGGTGACAGTAATTATTGAGAAAGCCTGAAGGTGAATCCTAGAAGCCAGAGACAGGCCAAGAAATCCCTGTTATCCCTTCCAAATTGTGATTCTCCCATTGCCTAAATTAGAGAAATTTGGATTTTACTTAAATAAAGAAGTTGCAACTTTATAATTCCCTTCATCTTTTCCTCCCATCTGAATGGCCTCATTATCCTACTAGAGCCAAAAGCTTGGTTTATATAGAAATAGATTGATATTCTGATCCCTAAAGAAAGAATTCTGTGTTCCCATTTTCATCTTCTTGAAGCTATTTACTTTTAAGAACTTTAATCCACTTAGAGAGGAACATAATGATAGTTAACATTATTTTATCATTTTTTAAATACTTACATTGTTCTTTTTCTTACTTTGAAGAATGTGTTGCTGAGATTGGCAAGAAATCTGAGTAGTTAAGGAGCATTATAGCACCTTTGAAGCTATTTTTTCTTCAAAAATAAATTATCCAGAGAATATTGCTAATTAGATTATTTTTAAAAGGTCAGATTGTAAATGCTTTTTTTTTTTTTTTAATTTCTAGGATGATTCCTAGTTCCCAAATGCACTGAAAGAAATGGTTTTAAGAATGCTTAGAGGACTTTATTAATTGGGTTATATTTTAAATCTCTAAATTCTGTGGTTGGTATTTAAATCCTCCCCCACCCCAGGCTATTTATTCAGGAAAAGGCCTTATTGTTCACCTACAGTTAAAACAAAACAAAAAGTTTGATGGGAGCGGTGGTATAATTTTTATAGAAGATATACCCAGAATAATGGTTATCACGTAGTACTTCATGGCTAAATATTTTAAATGAAATTTTCTTTCTGGGGCTGAGTAAGCTCATTTTAGAACCTTGGCTTGAGGTAGTGGTTTCTGAGGTCTAGTACCCTCCACACTCTGTGTCCCAACCAGCCCTTCAGTATCTACTTTCTTGGTAAGGTAATTTTTAAAGCTTTACAGAGGCAAATTGTAAATGATTTCCATATGAGGAATTTAAAATTGCCAACCTTTACATTTGAATGAAGAAATGTTTACTATAATTGGGGAACTAAAAAAAAATAGTTAAAATTACATTTAACCATATACTACAAGATTGGGAATTACAAATAGAACATATGCCATAATGCTGTAACCCATGCCAAAAATTTTGAATGTTACATTTGTAAATGTACTTCTCTGAATTCTCTTTTTTTTTTTAATGTGAGAAAAAAACTTCTGAGGATGCACCGTTAGTATCTGGAAATTACTTTTAATGGTGTTGAAGTTTTGAAATGTAATGAGAATAGGACTATAACTAGAATGTTCTATAATTCAATTGCATTTTTGTCTTTGGTGAATTGTTACTTGTGAAGCAGTATCATTATTGTGAAAGTTGCAAAGTAGATTGTGCAGGAAAAACTTTCTAGGTGGTTTCTAAATTTGGCATATTTCTTTGATATTTCTCATTATTAATTTGTTACATTTTCTGATGCTCTTCATTCATTCATTCATTCATTCACTCTTATAAGTATTTGTGAAGTATGTATCTACTACATGCCAGGCACTAATCTTGGCCTTGCAGGGGGACAGAGAGCCCCCAAATAGCTATAAAACACTGCTGTGATACAAATTGCATTCTTGTCAAACAGAAATAAGAAGCAAGGGAAATAAACTGTATATTTAAAAAAAATTTGTTGTTGTTGATGGACCTTTTTATTTTATATGTGGTGCTGAGGATTGAGCCTGTTGCTTTACACATGCTAGTGCTCTGCCATTGAGCCACAACCCCAGGCCCTTAAACTGTATACTATTGGTAAATGTAGGGAGAAGAAAAATATAGCAGAGAAGGGATATAAAGTAGGGGAGTAGGTATCCAATGAACAATTGWTTTTTGAGGTAGCGTAATCAAGAAGGGTCTAGTGAGAAAGTGATTTTTAAGTTAAGATTTAAAGGCAGTGAGGGAGTAAATCCAGGACACTTGAGAAATCAAATGGCATAGCTAGTGCAAAGTCCCTGAGATAGAAATTATCAAACTAAACAACAATCAGAGAGCTTCTCCAAAGAATAATGACATTTATTTGGGAATAGCAGAGTAGGCAATGGGAGTACCTGTGCCATAGAGAACCATATAGGTATTCAAGGAGATCCAGGCAAGAGGAAGACTTTAAAGGCACTTAAAAGGAGAGATTTGTGCAAGCTACTTGAATACAGTGTTCTTCGGTAGTGGAGACCAGAGGCAGGAGTTGGTGTAAATTTATTGTCAGAGCCATAACTGATGGGTGAGTGTCCTGTCAACAGCATCTTTCTGAATTATTGCAGTCTTAATGTTAAACTTAGTTACACAAATCTCTTCATATGTGTAAGGCATACAAAGCATGGGATATGTGTATATTGAGAAGAAATCTCTCTTGGGCCTTTGTCCTTGAGAAAGTTCTTATCTCAGACAGAAAATTATGAACCGTTCCCCTTCATAACTTCCTGGCTCTAATTTTGTCTGGTATCTGAGAAGAAATATTTCCACTTGGTATCTTCATTTCACGAAGTCTACCTGACAAGTTCAACAAATAGTGAGGAAGGAAAGGAAGAGGAAAAGAGGATGAGGCCATAGAGGTAAAGAAGTAACAGACTTTGTGGGGTTTGAATGTACTTTGACTTTTACACTGAGTTCAAGAAGTAGCCATCAACACAGTTGAGCAGTATGATCTGATATGAGTTTTAATTGGATCTCTTTGGCTGATACATTGTTGAAAGAATGAAAACAGGCAAGGCTGCAAGCAGGGAAACTATTTAGGAGTCTAATTCACTAATTTGGAGAAGAGATGATGGTGGTATCTAAGTATAGCAGACTTGGTGTAGTACTCTGAGTGGTAAGTGGTCGAATTCCAGGACTATTCAGAGAAAGAATTGAATAAGATTTGCTGACAGGCTGGTTTTATAGATGGAGGACAGTAAAACGCTGAGATAATAGAAATTGGAGTTCAGCATTAAAACTGCTGATGACAAAGAAATGGGCCTGGCTCTAGAAAAAAAGAAGAGAAAAAGGAAAAGCAGGGTTTATAYTTAAATAGGGGAGGTCAAATGGAGAGATCTGGAGCAAGATTCTAAAGCCAATCTTATGAACTGAGGCTAGGTTAATTTTGGTATGTTACCTGTAAGTACCTTTGTGCATGCATCTCTGAGGTGTGATGGAGAGTTTGAATTTCTTTTCTGGCCTTTGGTGATGTGCTCAGATGATGATGATGACAGAAAGAATCATCTAAACTTTCACACTTTGTAATCAACTTCAGGATGATTWGGGTGATAGAAAACAAAAAAGAGGGAAAAGAAATTTAATTTTTGRTYAACATTTACATTTAAACAATTTCCKGGGCTGGAGTTGTAGCCCAGTGGTAGAGGGCCTGCCTCACATGTGTGAGGCACTGGGTTGGATCCTCAGCACTACATAAAAATAAATAAATAAAATAAAGATATTTGTCCATCTACAACTAAAAAWTTTTTTTAAAAAAAACAATTTCCTAATAGAACTAATTGAGTAACTCACTCAACCTAAGAGTGAATTGAAATCATCATCATAAATTAGTGACTTTTTAAGAATAAATTTTTTAATGGTTCTATGAATAATTGTATACATTAATGGAGTAATATGATATTTGGATATATATATATATATATATATTATGGAATGTTTAAAGCAGATTTAATATATCTACCTCCTCAAATATTTATCATTTGTTTGTGGTAAAACTTTCAAAATTCTTTCTATTAGCTTTTTGAAATACCCAATAACTTTTTGTTATCTATAGTGACCCAAATATACTCGAGCATGCCAAAACCTCCTGCTCCTATTTATTAGTACTCATTTTCAACTTTCCCCATCCCTTCTCCCTCATTTAYTCCTCAACCTCTAGTAACTATTCTACTCTCAACTTCTAAAAGATCAACCTTGTAATAATTGATGTATGATCGAGACCATGTGGTACTTGTCTTTTTGTGTCTTGCTTATTTCACAAAATATAATGATCTCCGGTTTCATTCCTATTGAATTGGTTACTGTTTTATATATARGGAATCTCATTCTGCATCTAAAGGATATAAGTAGCTGTTCCTCTGTAGTGTCCTTCCATGTCTCCAGAGACAAGAAGAACTACCAAACATGCTTCATCAATGGAAGTCTTCTTGGGAAATTCAATTCCATATTTTGTGGCAAGGAAAATAAAGATGGTCAGGAAGATTTTATTTTCAAAAGTAACAGTTGTTTCTTAAAAAAAAAAATCTAGGAACACATCAAAAAAAGGAARGTATTTTTAAAAAACCTGAAGATAAGCACAGTGTTCACACTAAACAAATGAGCATGTAAGGGAASCAATGATGATAGTCATTAGAATCAGCTTGAGACTGTCAGAGACAATCAGGAATTTATGGCACCAAATGGGGAAGATAACACAAAGTATGGCACTAACATAATGTTCATCTGCATTAAAATAATATTTATAACGAGTCAGTTAACCTGAATCCTACATGAGATGTTGGATTAACAGATTATCAATTACAAATAACTTAATTTTTATACAAAGATAAAAAATTAAAGAGAAACTGTAAAAAAAGTGAAGATTGAAGGGTCATTCTAGAGTACTGTTTGGGGGAATGAATCAAGATTGGYTAATACAAATAAATGTGTGAAATCAGTTAATCCAGACCAACACATACAGATCACAAGATTTTGTAAATAAACTTATGAAAATACGGATGGGAAAACTGCAGAGTGTTTAACATTTTGCAACTGCAAAAATGAGTGGACCTAGCTGGGCACAGCAGTGCATGCCTGTAATCCCAGCAACATGGGAGACAGACTCAGGAGGATCACAAGTTCAAGTTAAAACTTAGCAATTTAGTGAGACCCTGAGCAACTCAGTGAAACCCTGTCTTAAAATAAAAAATAAAAAGAACTGGGGATGCAGCTCAATGGTAAAGTACCCCTGGGTTAAATCCTTGTATCAAAAAAAAGGGGGTCCTCCAACACTGCATGATGCTTGGACAAGTAGACAAAGTTATTTAGTAAAAGTAGACCTGCATATATTCCATCACATATGGACTTCTTTGCGTGATAGTAAATTATAATGAGAAAAAAACACAAGTAAATTATAATCAGACCAAACTAATTCCAGCTGCTCCACCTTGAGAAGAAGTTGGAAGAGGTCAGTGCAGCAAAGTACAAAGTCACAAGAGAAATGGAATCTGTATGTGCTAGAGCTTTGGATACTGCAGACAATTTGGGTTCTCTCCCAGGAGTGCTCACAACCACAATCAGGGTAGAAAATATTGTCAAATGATTGTACTTACATGTTACTTTTCTTGCTCTACCTACCATATAACTGCTTTTTTGGCTTGCTTTCCTTTGAAATGGCTTGGGATTGTAGCAATTTCTGCAGTCTGCAATTTAGATGACACTCTCTGTTATTGGTTTTGACTAGGACGGCTGAGGYCACTGGTGGGCTAATAGACTTTTTTAGTAAAGTTAACTTATCAGATCACAATAGAACACCAAATGCTACAGCAATACATCCTCATTGAGAAGCTAGAACAGCTTTTGTTTACCTCCATTGACAAATGCTGAGCAGTAGTAGAAGTACTGAACTTCAGTGACAAAATAACAAAAATACATTTATTTCAGGATAAAAGAAGGGGCATTGAAAATGGTGTTTGTTATGGGCAAAAAAATCTATTTAAAATATTTTGCATTTCTATATTTAGGCGGAACAAATATTTAGAGGTCCAGAGTTACTTGTTTTTAACCAGTACTTATTAACCAGTACTTTCCCTCCAGTTATATCCTAAAATGCCAAAATAACCCACAAAATTACTTACATGAATAATGGAAACTATATTTGTTTGTTGCCTGGAATGTAGTCTAACCACATTGTAAGTAATTGCCCCATGGTTCACTTACTGGTAGAGCAGAGAAAGAACTATATTATGTAATGCTACAGTTTTTTTCTATCAGAATACTGATAAAATTTTCACAGTATTGAGAGGTAAAATTTTATTAAACTTGCTGATTAGCATGCAGAAATTTATTTTATTTTTCTTTAAATTATACATGTACATATATATTGTATGTATGCTGCATTTCATAATTTAAAAAATTTAAGTGGACTCAGAAAATATTTATAACTGTTTTGAATAAGTATTATTGTTTGAATAATTCAAATATTGATGTTTGGATAAGGATTCTTGTTTACTTTTGAAATTAATGCAAAAAAGAAAGATATAAACCCAGAGAAAAATGAAAAATATYGATCTTTTAGCTAGTTACTTCATTTCTGGATAGTTTTCCTAAGGAAAAAATATATACATATTGAAGTGTGGGKATATATGTATTGTATGTGAGTATACAATTATTGGATACTAAATATATATACAATATTATGTGTAATGTAGCTATATATTCAGTCTCTGCCAGAAGTGGATTTTAATAATGCATTAGAAAATCACATATCAGTTACTTTTTAAAGGCTTATTTTTCAGAAAAGAGAACCTGTGCAGAAAAAATCCAGAATGGCTATCACTTTAGCCAAGATCAATCGGAGAGCATTAATTCAAGGATTAAACAACATATCCAGATCTTCCCAGTCAGTGGCCAAACTTCTGCATCCTAAGCTTACATGTAGAATTTTGGAGTTAAGGGACATATCTTGTCGTCTGCTGAGAGAAGTTAATGCACCAAGTCAACCAGTATATAACATTCAGGTAAGCACCTACTGCTTTGGCACAAGATTTGGACCTTTGTTAAAGAAACTTCTAAGATCTACAAGCTGTATTTCTGTATCCTCAGGTCATTAAAAAGAAAGATAGCTAAACTTCTTTAAATGTGGAATATTTTAAAAATGAGAATGTAGAGCATTTTGTTGTCTTCCATGTAAAACAGATGTACTTGGATAAGAGAAATAAATGGTTGCTTTTTTTTCAATATAGTGTATTTTCTGGTTTAAATAAGTCTGAAAAGGAGGGGAAGCAATATGGACTTTAAAAAAATTMTTTTTTAGTTGCTGATAGGCCTTTATTTCATTTATTTACTTATATGGGGTGCTGAGAATTGAACTCAGTGCCCCACACATTCTAGGCAAGTGCTTTACCACTGAGCCACAACCCCAGCCCAGCAATGTAGACTTTTTTTCCAAGCTTATTATTTAACTCTATTAAATGGTCCATTTCAATCGATTTCAACCAAATATAAGGATGCAAATTACAATTTCTGTCAAACCTAAAAGAAATTCTACAACAAATCTTTAAAATGGCTGTTTTGTTCTTTCCCCCATGATTTTGTTGTATTTTCAATATAATCTTTACATATATAATATATTGAGTATAACTATAATTTGGATAAGCCCATCAATATTTAAGTAGATTTTGAATTACCCTTTCTACATTGTTTTATTGGGGCTCTGTTTTGTTTTGTTAAGGAAAACAGYTCATAAAACTTTTAAGGAACTATTTCTTTTTTCCTAAACTTTATAGTACAGAACTCTGGGTTTTTCAGTCTGGGCATTGTTCAAAGCATCCTAAATTTTCACTACAAAGGATTAGAATCTTGCAAGTCTGGCCTCTAAACCCCAGGATGAATCATTTGGAACTCTTGTGTTGAAGGGAGAGAAAACAAGGTTCAATAGAGGTTCTCAAATGATGCCTTTGGATCCTGTTTGTCTCTTTCTCTCCATTTCTTGGGTCTACTTGCTCTATGCTGACTGCATTCTTAGAGTGGCATTTTCCTCCATGATTTGCAGCTGTTCCTGGGGTTACGTCCTTCTAGATTTCTTCACAGCAGAAAAGAGAGTCATTAATCCAATGTTCCCAGTAAAGTCCTCAGGTTCATTCTTTGAGAATGACTTATATAGGAGAAATGACTTAGGTCTCAGTGCTCATCTCTAAGCCATAAAATGGGATGCCCTAATTAGTCTATGACCAGATTACCAACTTCATCCCTATATTTGGGATTGGCATCCCATTTCCAGATCATATGATCTGAGATTGATATGGAAAGAATAAATCCACAAATAAAAATCTGGGTTGTTTCAAAAAAAGATGATAAATGAATGCTGAGTGGTCCAAATCAACAAATAATAATAAAAAACATTTTACTTTGTAGGAATCTCTCTTTAATCAAAGAATTTGACATTTCCAAAAATTATCAGATATGTGAGCTATGAACTGCCTGAGGGCAGCATTTATTAAAAAAATTCATTTATAATACCTGATATCTAATAAAGTAAAAAAATGTTTTGTTTTAACCATATGAGTCWCTAAGATCTAYAAGCTGTATWTCTGTATCCTCAGGTCATCAAAAAGAAAGATAGCTAAACTGTATTATCTTAAATTCTCATTGAAATCACCTTCATATTGAATGTTTTGCTTTGCTGTTTCTTTTCTTGCATTGTCAAACCTATAGATTTTCTAGAGGTTTGATATAAGAAATGTCTTTGGAAAAATATTTCTGTATTTAGTATATGAAATCATATTTTAAAACACTGTCCATTTCGCTGTTCAGAGTCTTCCTTTTTGCTTCTCTGCTAATTCAGAACCATCAAGGATCTGAGATTTTCCATTACTTGCTAATCAATTATCTTGCTACACACACACACACACACACACACACACACACACACACACACACACCAGGCTTAGGTCAGGGACATAGATTGATATTCATGGTAAAAGGATCAGAGCAGTATTTTTTGTTGGTTCCCTATACTCAGTTCCCATAAGGCAGGTTATTTCAAAAGAAAGGAACCTTGAAATCAAGAGACTGAGCACTTTTTAAATTTTTTCTCAGTACTAGGAGTTGAACCCAGGGGTGCTCTATCTACTGAACTAGATCCTCACCTCTTTTCATTTTTTATTTTGAGACAGGGTCTCACTAAGTTGTCCATCCTGGCCTTAAATTGGCTATCCTCCTGCCTCAGCCACCCAAGTCACTGGGATTACAGGCATGTGCCACCATGCCAGGGAACACTCTGAGCTTTTCATGACACATCTGCCCAGCCTTCTCTTTRTSTCTCTGTCTCTCTCTCTCCCCTACCCCGAGTGTGATTTTTTATCACCCTAGAATGTAAATGTCTAGGAGAGAAGAAGAGGACTTTGTCTTTAGTGCCAGGTGATGTGTTTGGAGAGAACTTCTCTAGGTCTCTGTACACTTTCTCTAGCTTCCAAGGTTGTTTGCTACTTGAACATGTCCTTTGCTTGGAAGATCAATCTGTACAGGAATGAAACAAATCCATGAGAATATTCTCTCAAAACTCATGAATATTCAGTGGCAAGAAAAAATTATATCTATTGCAGCTGAACTTATGTGCTTCCTTTTATCCGGTGATAAGAACTGAAAAACAACACAATGGGTTTRCCTTTTTGTCTTGATTGACAATCAGTTTCTGAGGTAAATTTAAATCTAACTTATTCCTGGAGGCTGAGATGAAAGAGACAGGTTTAGGGACCAACTGGCTTGTCCAAGGTCCATATACTGACTGTGACTATCTCTTGACATCAAAATCAATAGCCTATGAGATTTCTTCTCCTTTGCTCTTGTTCTAATCRATCTAGCTTTAATCCCCAAAATTATTATCAATGAAGTATTTCAAAACACACAGAAAGTAATATATCRTAAGTCTAACCCAAATTTAAATTGCTGTGGTAATATTTGTCATATTGCCTTCAGATCTCCCCTTAATAAAAATGAATATAACTAACTATAGCTTACTCTCTTCTCTTTGCTTCTCACCAAAGACAATCATTACACTGAAGTTGATGTGAATATGTCCTTACTTCTATATTTTTACTATATATATATATATATATATATATATATATATTCACATTAGATGCATATAGTTTTATTCTATGTATATTTTAAGTTTATATAAATTATACTGTGTCTATCCTTCTGAGACTGTTCTTACTTGACATTGATAAATATGTAGCTAGGGTTTATTTTTAGCTTCTCTCTCTGGTAAGAAAAAAAAAAAAGATCCATAGTTCATCTGATACTGGGTTGATGGACAGTTTAGTTTCTAATTTTTTTTCTGTTGAAGACAGTGCTTCARTGAATATGCTTGCAAATACATGCAAATAAATGTGTGAGACATTCTTCAGGTATATATCTGAAGAGGGATTGCTCCAGGTTTCATTAGCTATTACCAAACTGTATTCAGGGAGGGTGTTCTTTATTGGGAATCCTTCTGATTCCTAATTAGAGGATAATTTCTTCAGTTTTGGAAAATTCTTAGTCATTATTTCTTCAAGTATTGCTTCTTTAGTTTTTTTCTTTAATCTCTTCTTATAAAATGGTTATTAAAACATATTTTGGATCTTCTCATTTTATTCTTTATGTGTATTTGCCTTCCTTATGTTTTCCTCTCTCTCTTTTTTAGTTGTAGATGAACAAWATACCTTAATTTTATTTATTTATTTTATGTGATGCTGAGGATCAAACCTAGTACCTTACATATGCTAGGCAAGTGCTGTTCCACTGAGCCACAACCCCAGCCTTCTTTGTCTCTTTTTGATACATCCTTAGTAATTATGCCTAAAATGCTCTTTCATTTAGTGTATTTTTAAAGTTTTTATTTGTTCTTTTTAGTAATCATGAAAATAGAATATATTTGACACATCCTACATACATGGAGTATAATTTCCCATTTTTGTGGTTGTACATGTTGTGGAGTTACACTGGTCATGTATTCATATAAGAACATAGGRAAATTACATTGACTCACWCTACCGTCTTCCCTATTTAGTCAGTGTATTTTAATTTTAAAACATTACAWTTATCATTTCTACAAGTTCTATTTGGTGTTGCACCTAAAATTTCTGCTTCTTTTATCTTTTTAATGGGTCCTTTACAAGTTTATTCATTTTTTTAAAAAAAGTCTTTAATCATTCTGAACATATTTATTTAGGAATGGTCTTTTACATGGTTTTTCTTTGAAATATTAGGGGTAATGCTAATTTTTCTAACTATGGTGATTTATATTATATCATATATTAGATAATTTACTTATGTTTTATAACTTTTAACTGAACCATCTTCTCCAACAGAGGTTTTTTGTTTTGTCTTTAATAAAAATCCCTTCTGTATTTACTGGTGGAACCAACCATCCCTTTAGAGGAATTTTGCTTTGTTTCCAAGGGTATCAGCAATCTGGGAGCAAGCTTTATTCTTTTTTTCAGCTTAGATTTTCCTGCTGAAAGGGTAAATTCAGATCCCTTTGTAAGGTCAGTCTTAGGGTTTTAATCTCTCATAGGAGAATTCCAGTCCCAGGTGGAGAACTTTGCTTTGAGTCTCAATTTCACTGAAATTGAAGCTCCGCAAAGGCCCAATTTTCACTTCATCTCCAGTCTTTGTATTAGAACTCAGGCATCCAATCATTATCTCAGGGTCCAATAACATCCCAGAGTTTCTGAAGTATAAAYTCATACACTTGCTTCTCTGGCTTTTAGTTCCATCTTTGTTCCTGGCACAGGGAACTTCTCTTTCTTTTTTTGTAAAATCATTCTTATGCTAAATATTTTGAGTTTCATTTTATATGGAATTTCTCAGTGTTTTTGTGCAAGTGGTTCTCAGTCTGCCATGTTGATGGAATCAGCTGGCCTTTAGCTTTACTTACTATTTTCCTTCACAAGTTTTAATATAAGATGGTTAATTTCTTTGGGGAAGTAAGAGAAATATAACTTAACTTTTTATTCATTCAACAATATTT